AATACTAAATATACATACTTCTTTTTGTACTTGCTTTGACTGACAAAGTAGGAGACTTACTTTTAGTCAAACAATAAAGACATATAAAGTTGGAAGAAAAAGGTTACAAAAACAGATGTTTCAAGTTATATTTGAAGTACTGTGTACCTTTTTTATTTGCTGTGACTTCCAAGACTTGATAGATTTTGCGCACGCACAAAAATAGCCAATATACTTATCGCTATACGTGTAATTTGTATGCTTCAATGTATGCTTCAGGTTACAAATGCTGATATTGATAGCCCTGAAATATCTGATTCTCGTCAAAATTTTAGACCATATATATATACATACATATATATATATGTGTGTGTGTATGTGTGTGTCTATAATTGTGTATTTGTTCAGCAGTCCCACTTTTATAATTATTAATGAATAAAAAGAAAAAGTCAACGCTCATGTTGTTGGGCAATAGGCACATGTTTCTGGGTTATTTTTTCAAGCTGAATCTGAAAATCAATTCCAGTTTGCTCCATCATATCATGTTTTCTCGGTACAGATAATTTCTCTTTTTCTTAAAATTGGCCAAAATATGGCAAGGTCAAGTAGAACCAACCTTAAACGTTTCCAGTTTAGAATAACTTATAAAAAAAAAAAAAAGTACCCCAATAACTTAAAGAATGAATTTTCAGAATTTCAGTTCAGGACCATCTCACACAAAAAAGACAAAAATGTGTCATCAGTTTTTGAATGAAAACAGACCAAGTAGTTACAAAGGAATGAAAAACACATTTTTTTCCATCCAAAGGTATAAATATTCTCTTCTTGGAAACTCTACGGTGCTTTTGAAAAGGTTGATCTCTTTTGATGTTCCAGCAGAAATCAGCCATCATGTTAACATTCCATCTGCCTTTATCTTTCTTCCATTACCTTGGGGTCCTCTCTCCCTGTTCATCACTATAATCACCAAGATTATTGGGAAACTGATGAAGGTGATGAAACAGAAAGTGAATCTTGATACTCAAGATGTGGTAACTGTCATGGCGGTCAGAAAAATTTCTAAATTAATTGGAATCATTGGTGCATCATCATCAGAAAATGAATCGCCTACCTGTCAAATTTTATCCCCATGAAATTATAATTTTGATGAGTGCAGAAGCACATAAGAACATGCCAAAAAGCGAACAAATCGCTGTTCTGTTGTGTTAATAAGCACCATGATATCAAACTGCCCTGTATACATTTTTGGTCAGACAAGATGCTGGTGATGTTGGAGACGGGTAGGAAAAGTGCCTAGTTGGCTATGCCTATCTGGTGTTTGGTGGCTATTTTAAGCGCTGATAAAGAAAATTCTAATATTGCTAGTCTCAAATACATTCGACTAACAGCCTTACAACCCTCATTTATAGATGTTCCTATGCATATTATACAGAGACTGCATGAACAGGCCTCCGTAAATGTAAGTGATATGACGGTTTCAGACTTAAAGTGAAATAATAAATAAAGCTACTAATAAAAACTAAAATCACTGCTCTTGAATGACTTCTAAATAGCTTCTTCTATGAAAAGTATAGAAGAAACACTAATCACAAAGTTTTAACAAGCTAAGAACATGGGGTGTGGCACCATGCATCCTGACGATTTGAAAGAAATATTTATAGATATATGATTTGCTTTTTTACGGTTTATCAACCATTTGATAATTATTTAGGGCCGAAAAATATTTTAGGTTTTAAGAAAGAGAAAACGAAGAAAAAAGAAAGAAAAAAAAATAATACGAGACGGGTCATAGGCGAACACACACACACACGGCTTAAGAGACGGAAATGAGGAGGAAAAAGGTTATAGTTGATAGGTATCAGATGTCGAAAATATCTAGGTCACCTACGAACAAGCGTTGACCGATTACCACTTGTCCACGAAAAATGGAATTTTGTTATCAATGGATGTCACCAAAAGAAGAAATCCATTGTTGAACATTGACGAAACACAGACGGTCTTCACTGGGTGTAAAGAATTAAAATCCCACACAAGAAGTTTTCACTGGCTAAGTTTTTTTTTTTTTGACAGAATAAACTTTTGCTCTGTGATGATAAAGATTTTTTGTTATCAAACCGAAAGGAAAATTTTTTTATTTTTGCTTTAGAGACGATTGGCTAGAATTTTTTCTTAGATCAACCAATTAGCGATAAACTGCCTGACAAACGCCACGAAAAAAATTTTCACCTCGGCCGCTCAAATATTTTTAATTTTTTTTAGTTAAGCTTTAAAAACAAAGACGTCAGGTTGGCTGGATCATATGGAAAATTTCATTTGGCTTCACATGACGCAGATCCCGACCAGGACCTCGTTGGCCAATAGCGGTAGCACGAAGAAAATCAGTCGACGCCTCTATCAGAGTGTAAGTGTGAGAAGCCTGATACGAAGAAGTGGGGAAGGTGGTGCGCCCCTCAGAAGCACGGTAAGAGAGGGGTTAAAAATGGAAAAGAGTGGAAAATCCGAAATAAGGGGATACGTTTTAGAATTATCGAAGAACCCCTCCGACGACAGACCCACCCCAGTTTTGACGCGTCAATAAAAAGCCCCACCAGACAGAAATCAGTTTTGAGCCCCGGACAGCAGGCAGAGATGAGTGCCCAGTGTTGAAACCGCATCAAGATAGCTTTGATCAGACCACAGAAATAAGTTTTTCGACTTTCGTCCAAAGACACGCCGAAACACAAATAGTTATATATTTATAAACCCCTGCAATATAAAACGATTATATTTAATTAATTTTTTAGTTAAATCAGCAAGAACATTTTCCAGTGAGATAACTTTCATAAAATTAACCATTCTCATGTGAGCTTATCTGAACTGAAAAAGTTTGTTAACTTTGACTTCATTTTATTTTCTTTTATACAAATTGTTATTTGGAATCTTTTGGTCTCGTCTGTCTAATCAATTCACAACGATAAATCATTTTAACCAGGCGTTGGAAAATGAAATGTTTCCCGAATCACCAAAGGGTTGTCACGTTTGGAGCAGCGACACCCGGACGAAGCAGCGAGGAGCGAACAGCTGACGCCGCGGCGAAGACGTCATTTAACGTCACAACTGGCGCCGTGGTAATTAGAACGACACAGTCGGCGCTGCGACCTGGGGACGACGTCACAGGGGGCACAAGAACATTTTCCAGTGAGATAACAAAATAACCATTCTCATGAAATAACATCATTTTGAAAGTTATTTGAATCTTTTCTGAATGAAAATCGAAATGAAATGTTTCAACTATATATTTAAGGGTCAAAACGGATTTTAAGAAATAGAAATCATCTGTACTGAGAAAACGAGATATTATGGGTGAAAACGGATTTGAAATCGGTGTGAAAAAAATAGCCCAGAAACATGTATCCATTGCCCAGCAACATTTGGTCAAAAAAATGTCAACAACTGTAACTTATGTATATAATGCGTGACTTGGATGATAATATATATATATATATATAGTGCGACTGGTATTTCACTAAAAATTTTCTGGACTAGTAAAAAAAACTTGCTGAACAAATGAATATAATTATATTTATTACTAACAAGTAAACATGAAATTTAGCTAACTATTATTTAATTTTATTCAATAAAATCACCACTAGCATCAATAACTGCCTCTACACGAGGTCAAAATCGGCTGCAAGCTCTGATTAATTGGTCCTTATTTATGTCAGACATTACTCGAACTATTGCAGCTTTAAGATAGTCATTGGTGTTATGAGGCTGTTTATTAACCTCCTTCTCAATAATGCTCCACACATAATAGTCTAGTGGATTGAGATCTGGAGAGTTAGGAGTCCAAATGTTGGGTGTGATGCGGTCATACAAATGGTCAGCCATCCATTCTTGTGTTCGTAGAGCCTTGTGGAATGGAGCCGAATCTTGCTGGAATATGTAAGGCCTGCCGCTGCATATGTTGTCAATCCAGGGATTGACAACTGTTTGTAGAACTTCAATGTAAGCAGCAGCATTTACTCTAAGACCTTGTGGAAAAATGTGTGGTGGCATAACATGTCCTTCATTGCTAACAACACCGAATACCATAACACTTGAAGGAAATTTTGTGTGCATCACTTTTGGCAACACAGAAGGATCTGAACAAAGCCATTTGTCATTTCTTCTGTTAAGTTTTTGATCTTGATCAAAATTTTTCTCATCTAAGGAAAACCAAATCACACCAGCTTCGGAAGGAATTTTAAGTTTGTTTAAAAGCCTTTTGGATCTGTTTAAACGGTTTTCTTTTGTTTTTTCATACATAAATTGACCTCTCTTCATCACGTATGACTTGTATCCAATGTCTTCATGAACACTCCTTCTGATTGTTTTTTCAGACACATGCAGCTTTTTGGCAATTGACCTCATTGATTGACCTCGGTTTTCATCAATTGTCTGCATGACTTTCTGAATAAATTCGGATATTCTCACTTTATCAGAACGTGCAGAATGTCTTTTACGTTTGATACAGACATTGGAGAACTGTCAGCGTCTTCTAACTCTTTTCGTATCTTGTGGACAAACGATCTTGCAACTCTGAGGAAATCTGCAATATCCAAATCGCTATGATCGGCCTTTAATGCCACAATCACAGTATGCCTTTTCATTTCATTTGTAATCATAGGGTTTGCCATTCTTGATTTCTGAAAATAAAAGCATTAGAAGTTAGTGGGAACCAGTATTAATCTTAAGTTTACATATATATATATATATATATATATATATATATATATATATATATATATATATATATATGTGTGTGTGTGCGCGCGCGTACACGTCTGTGTTTGATAGTTTTGTTAGTAGATATGATTTATGTTCAAAGGTTTTCTGCATCTTTTTTTTATGTCAACACCCGTCGTGGTTGTTAAATATACGTCAAATTCTTTAAGAGTTAATTTAATAAAGGTTGGCAATGCAATATAGTGTTTTTGATGCGTGTAAAATATTTAGCCGGACACCCTCGAAGTTCTCACCAGTCTTGTTCCTGTGTATCGCGTTGAAACACCGGTTCCCGTATGATCACCGAAGTTAAGCAACATCTAGCCTGGTCTGTACGTAGATAGGTGACCGCTTTTGAATACTAAGCGCTGTAAGCTTGGATATGTCATTGGCGTAATGATTATTGGCGTAGAATTGTTCATCGGAAAGCAGAGTTTAAATTTCAGTTGGGTCCGTTATACCCACTTACACGCAAATATTGTAAAAGGTATGAACCACATTCAGCTATGGTTTAATTAGTAAGACTTGTATCACTATACTATTATTATTTCAAAAAATATAAACATATTTTCTGGCTTTAAATGACCTGCAAAGGGTTGATAAGCCATAAAGAACGAATCAACCAACCAACTGTTCATTTGTGTGGACATTGTACAGTCTTCCTTGTATAGCAGTATGACAAAATATTTCAACGTTTTTGCTGCTTCTAACGAATTCTTCCTGATTCTTAATATTGTGTTTCGTTTTTGGAAGGAATATTCTCCATAAGCTGAAATCATTTTTTTTATTTCTTTGATTCGCATTTCTAACTTTTCCTTAAATATGGAAAATCATAATATGCTGAAAATGTTATTTAGTTTCTTCCATTTTCAATATAAAAATCAATACCACGTCAGTTTTGATAATTCAAAAATTCTTCCCGCTTATTTGGCAGCTGTCAAAATGCAATGAAAAGTGATCTTTTTGATATGAAGTTAGGGATTTTTTCGGTTAACTCACTATTTTAAATTTGAAATAATATATATTTTTGACAAGAATGAAAATTAAAACAAAAACTAGTATTTTAAAATGTATTTAATCCAAGTAAGCAGAGTATTACTTAATTTTTTCCCCAACGTGTAACAATGTCATTTATTCTTGTACGATGAAAAGAAATTATTCATTGATTCAATAAATTCTTGTGAAACTTAGTGTATCATCCTCAATGAATCGATTTCCTTCCTGACCGTACATGATTCTAAGGCTCTGTTCTTGTCGAAACTTCTGGAACTTTCTCTACGAACAGAAACGGATACTTGGTCAAATTCTTGCTTGATGCGCTATGCAATGCCAGTAACGTTTTAAGTATATTGAAACCATTATTGCTAACCGAAAAATTCCGTGTTAGTAATAGAAATTAAAATACAAATCCGGGGTTAATTATAGGATTCTAAAAAATTCTTTGTTATAGATTTCTGTCTATAACATCAGTTTCCACCATTTTAAGGTCGGTGGGTATCTGTTTAGATTTCGGTGATTGTGTGTATGGGTGGGTGATTATCATTACCATCATCAGCAAGACATATTGATTGCACGAATTCTTTCCTCGAGTCATTAAGATTGCATATGACACTTTGTAATCCTACAGATCCTGTATCTTCACATATTTGCTTAATTGGTTTTGTATGGCCGACCAATGCTAGTGTGTCCATGTTTTGTCGCCTACAATAGGACCTCACTGATCAGCTCAGGTACTTATAAGAATGCCGCATTTTTCTTGTCCTTCTCTTCTGAATGACCCGTGAGTTGGAAGGACAAACATCTGCTCTTTTGTAGGATGCTGTTTCCAAAATAGATTCAATGCAATTCGTAGCATCCTTGTATTCGAAACATTGACCCTATTTTCCAATCATTTTGCTCATGTACAGCAGTTAGAAACCTAGCCGAACTTTCATTCTTTACGATAGCATCTACTTCTCCTTTCTGAGTATGTTCGTCTGCTAGTCTATCTAAACCTCGTTTGCTATTCCGCCTATATAAACCCTGTTACAGAAGCCTGCTCATACACTTCAACACTCTTCTTCAACACTCACAAATGCAACCAGTGGTTTATACTGCAGCTACACTATAATATTAGTTATATTTTTCGAAAAGAGTGCACAGACTGACATGACCAATAGCTGAACAAGTAAAATACGTTCACATCCTTGATCACAATGGCTTGTGACTTTGTAGTCACACAACAATTGACGGACTACCAGATTTTGTTTAACTCACGATATGATTTTCAGGCCATTCCCAATGATTCACTTTGCTGAAACTATCAAGAATCATGCTCTTAAAAGATTAACCATGGTGAAATTCGATCCCAAAACTTCTGACTGAAAAGTTAACCTTCTAACCACTTAGCCACATATAAATGCCTGTAGGGTTATTTTAGCTATATCCCTAAAATAGACTCACTAGATTTTAATGAGCTTACATTTATTTTGCATCTCGCTATAAGATTCAACAATATAGGCTTTAAATGACTAGCAATGTCTTGTAACACTTGTTTGTGAACTCTCGCTTGGTGGAAAATATTGCAATTAATTCAAAAATTGAATGCAGTTATTTCAATTAATTCATACAGTGGCTACAGTGTCTTTCGTTTGTGAACATATTGATAGAGTAACTGCCGAGAAGATTAAAAGTATTGTTTCGTGAATTTAGTGAATTAAACATTCCAGATAGAAGCCCTACTATTTAACGCATAGCTGAGGGGAAAAGATGGATTATTGGCTTTCACAATGGCAGTTACTCATAAGGGAATATAACGAACCAGATTGTAATTTCAACTTGATTCTCCGATATCTCATTCCGAGACGCTTTCTATTACACCTGGTTCAGTAAATATCACTGTTTTTAAACAATATAAATTCATATAAATATTTGTGTGCATGTCTATATATATATATATATATATATATATATATATATATATATATATATATATATATATAAAAATGGACAAGGTCCGACAATTTATTTATTAAAGACATTTTTTATGTTTAACGTTGTTATTTAGAGATACAAGTATTTAAGCAAATGCTCTGTTTATGATAAACAGTAGATAGATAGATAGATAGATAGATAGATAGATAGATAGACAGACCTAGTGAGCCAGACAAACCTACCTACATATTTATAGGCGATAGCTAAAATCATACTACGTGGTATGATTTTAGCTATCGCCTATAAATATGTGTTTCTCTTTGACTCGTTAGCTTGAATTTCCCTGACGATCCGTTTAGGTGAAACCTAGGTAGGTTTGTCTGGCTCACTAGGTGTATCTAGGTCTGCTCTACGGTTGTATTGAGCGCTTTTGTTAGTTAGTTGTTTACTCGTATCGGGGTTTTTTCTTTGGGCTTCAGACCTGCATCTGTGCGATTTTTTGTCGACAGAAGTTCATGTTTGTAGCTCTTTCTTTTTTTAAAACCTTTTTTCCCTCGAGATTGATTTGATTAGCAAATAAAAAATTCGAGGGTTTTTCGAGACGAGTCTAGTTATCTATCTATCTATCTATCTATCTATATATATATATATATATATATATATATAATTATATAGATATAATTATAAGTGTGGGTGTGGGTGTGTGCGTGTGTGTAAGAGACTTGATGAAAACAGAATATACTTTTCAAACAGTACAGATTATATTTATATGATATAAATTTAAACTGAGTACTTAATCGTATCTATTATTTAGCAGAATTCTCCTATCATAATGGATGGATGCTCTTTGAAAGAGCCTCATTGTCTTGAACGTCTGTTGAGACTCAAGTGGAACTCATATATCCGATCTATTGCTAATTATGCTGGGAAAATGTTTGGTTCATCCAGTAAGTTTTCTAGCTCCCCCTGCTATACTCAGATATGAACAAAAATGGATTCTTGCTGCCATATCTGGGCTGACAAAAGCGTCTACGCAGCTGTGTGTATGATGAATTATTTTTCACACTAAAATTGATTCCCCACAGACGATACGTGATGTGTTTTTTGATGAGCTACATTACCGACTTTTACAACAGCGATTCACCGTGCCAACTACATCATTATCCCCATTTCTTTCGTATTCCAATTGTAAGGAATAAGTTCCATTCGGACAGCTTCTTACCAAGAAATTCTGCTTTGTGTAACAAGCTCCCGATATTATGTTTTTCCAATCACTATAATTTTGACCTCATCAATTTTAAGGCTATCCGCTATTTTTCTTGTATAGCACCATTAACTTCACTTTTTTTCCCTTTCTTATGTTCATACAATACTAAACAGTGACCCTGAGTAGAACTACCTTGAGAGACATTGTATTGAGTGAACTTTAGCAAAGAATATGAATGGGCTAAAATCGTTTCTCTGGATTTTCATTTCAGTGTACTTGCTTGCCAAAAATTATATATATATATATATATATATATATATATATATATATATGTGTGTGTGTGTGTGTGTGTGTGTAATGTAAAGATTATTGAACCATATATTTACCGCTTTGTTTCACTAACGTCTGTTTTACAGGCATTTTTCAGAATGAATTACTCCATGAACAGTTTATTTTTCTCAACTGTAATCTATTCAAATTACCTTTTGCAACCATCCAGAAAATTGATAATAGACAGGGTGTTCCAAAAATTGTACTCACTTTTTGAATTCTTATAACTTCTTCAATCTTTTTTCATTTTTTTTTTGTCAGAAGGAAGGCATTTAATCACGCTTAATATTTAATTTAAAACTTTAATCTTCTTTGTAAATCAATAAACATTAATATCACTAGATCTTAATCATTACCATTGTTTACAAGCCAATAAACACTACGTAAACACTGCATTCATTGTCATTTAAACAGTGAGTAACATTGTTTAGACATATATATAGAAGTCAACACTCAGAGGCAACAGTCTGTTTCATGCTAAACGCAATCGTCAGGCAATGTTTGTGATCGCGTTTACCATAAAACAGACTTTATATTTACATTCGCTCTATCACTGATATTGAGCACTTTAAACCACAAATATAATATATATATATATGAAAACGATATATAAATGTTTGTATATCAAGTTTTGGAGAGAGACGTTTTGACCCTTAGGACGCGTCACACGAAAAAAATTTTTTCTCCTTTATCTTTTATCCATTTCATTTGTTTTATTCAAGTCTCACAGAAGTCGAAATTCCGTTTTTTAATGAAATTTGTATATATATATATATATATATATATATATATATATATATATACATATATATAGTACGTCTGGCTTAATGATGTTTCCGTATAGGAGAACGCATAATTCCTACGATTTTCTTGAATATTCCGACCGGTAAATTTAATTAATACTGTTTAATTAAAAAAAAAAAAAAAACAGTGTATTTAGTCAAATAAGTGTATCTATAGAAAATCGTATAGAGAGAAAATATATTAAAATATTTGTTGGATTAGAATTTATTTCATATAATATTTTGTCATTGTTTACGTTAGGCTACAATTTCAGAGTAGATATGATAGATCGAGAAAAATCGGGGTGTGTGTTTAGAAGCAGTAATTCGTGCTTTCCTACTCGGAAATTCTCTGTGACTGAATGGTCATAGAACGCAGGAATACAAAGACACACACACATATATATATATATATATATATATATATATATATATATATATATATATATATATAATACAGTGTTAAGCCAGTATTAAGTACAAAAAGGAAAAGATAGAAAAATATAAACAGTAAATTGCTGATAACACCTGAAGAGTGGACGGAGAGGTCCGTCTACGAAACTCTGGAGTCGGGATGCTGAGGGTAATATCCATCAGCTAAGTGACAAAATTTTACTCATATTAATCTTATGCAAACAGTGTAGATCACATAAACCGTGTAAATCTTTATCTGCTAACCTGTGCATTTGAGAGTTTTCCATAACCGAGTAATCTAAAAACACTCTGGATTATACGGCGTGTTTCCACTACAAACTTCGCTCATTGTTTTTATTAAGATTCTCAAATACATAGGACGTTATGCATTTATATAACAGGTATATCTACTCAAAGATGTGTTCGTCCTGGGTATGACGTTAAACTGCATCCAACAGCAAGGCCTCTGATCAGAGGTTTTTGAGGAGCGTGGAACCACCTCTTAATTACTGGTGTTCCCAGGTCCACCTTGACCCGGAGTGGTAGCGCCTGTTAGGGTCCCAGCTATGGGCAAATAGTTAACTCCTCGTTTTTCCAGCTCTTACCCACGTCCTGGGTATGGCGATAAACTACATCTGCGTCCTGGGTATGATGATAAACTCCGTCCAACAGCAAGGCCTCAGATAATGTTTCGGAAAAATAATGTTGCCAGCTATAGGTTTTTGAAACAATAATGTTGCCAGCTATACGTTTTTGAAACGATAATGTTGCCAGCTATGAGTTTTTGAAACGATAATGTTATCAGCTATGTGTTTTTTTGTTATGTTGCCATATACGTTTTTGAAATAATAATGTTGCCAGCTATACGTTTAATAGTACTGTATATATATATATATATATATATATATATATATATATATGTGTAAAGTTTAATATCTAACTTAATTTGACATTAAATGACCTACAGTGGTTGATATGCCATAAAACCCAACCAACCAACCATCACAGATGTGTATCTACCAGGGATAAAGTTTAAAGCAATATGAAATAATCCTAGATTATAAATAAAATTCCTTAGAAATAAATACTTATCTATAATCCATATATAGATATGTAAACTCTCGATTCATATATATATATATGTGTGTGTGAGAGAGAGAGAGAGAGAGAGAGAGTCCTTGGTATATTGTGTTAGACTTAAATATAAATCATGCACACGTTTAATCTTACAAATTTTCTTTTCTTTTCAGTGGGATCATCCGCAGTAGCAGGTTCGGTAACAGCCACCAGAACAATAGCAACAATGACAGCAATAATAATAACAAGAAAAGCAGCAGCAGTATCATCACTCGAACAAACACGGTCACCAAAACTTAAAAGCAACCTCGTATTCTAGCTATCATCATTTTTTCTATGGCGAGAATTTTTTCTTTGTTTTATTGATTATAGTTTTAGGGTTAGGCTGGGTTTGCTTATTGAAAATCTCTTACTGTGTCCAAAAGTCATATGAAGAAAAACGTTTTTTAATGAGCTGAACTAGTAAATTCGATAGCCATCCGAACTATCAGAAAAGACAATATTTAAGATGTAATATTTGGGTGTCGAAGTCTGGAGGAGATGAACCTATCAATCAAACTCCGAATGTAAAAAGAAAAAAAATATGAATGGATATAAAAAGCCCAAAATAATAATAATAATAATGAAATAATCATTGAATTCTATATTTCTACAGGCCCTTTACGTTGAAAGACATCCAGGTTATGAACTTAAGCTATGCCCTGTAATCTATCACAAGTTTGACATGTTGTGGTGATGTCTACTCTTTGTAATATTGCTGGGTCCATAACCGGAAGAAAATATTTTCTTCACTTCAAAAGTTACTCATTCGTTCGCTGTTCTATCTACATAAAAGAGGAAGCGTCACTCACTGACTGTCTTGCAATATACAATGGCTGGTCGATTACATCAAAAAAGAACTATTTTTACTGTATTCACAAAACGTTTCAGAAATGGCAGAACATCCATTACTTGTCACTGTTATCTCCGCACCTGGAACGACTGGTCAACGTAGCGTCAATAAATCAACTCCTTCGAATTCACCGCTGCACCTATTGGAAATTTGGAAAAGACAGCAACATTGGAAGCATTAGTCAAGGGTCTTACCATTGCTTCTTTGCAATGGCATAATTTGGTAAATGTGTATTGGCACATGTAATTGAATTTCCTCGGGCAATCGAAAAGAAAAGCAACAATGTTTATCAAGACAAATCAATCGTGAAGAATAATGGGCCTCCGAAAATAAAATTATGTTTCTCCTTGTAAAGATTGCTTTTGTCTATAACAGTTCATTGTTTTATATTTTATGCACACTTAACTTTATTTTGCTATCGTTAATGCTCTTTTGCAAAAATTTAATGTCGTGTTCTATTCAAATGAGCTGTATTATTACTGTACGATATTACTGTACGATATTGCACTGGATTAATTATCGTCCAGAAAGCCAGGACTGATTTTCAAATGCATTTTAAACAAGTTCTTTCTTTCTAAGTTGCATCTTAGAGTAAAGAGCCGTACCAAAAGGAAAAATCTGAAAAAAAATCTTTTACTTAAAAGGGATTTTCTTATTTTATCTTGCGTCTAAATTTACAGGGAATAAAACATATCAGCTGGCGTTATTTTTTGTTAGTCATTCATTTGTTTTTCATTTTGTTTGTCTTTGTTTTATGTTTTGAGGTCGATTCATAAATAATTTCCTCTCATGGGAACCAGTTGTAATGACGAATGTATCGTCATAACTAACAGTTCCTTAAATATATAATAGCAGGTGATGAAAAGTGGATTGCATACAACAATATGTAACGCAACAGACTGGATTGACGAGAATAAATCTCCAAAACGACACCAAGATATGAGCTCGATGGAAAAAAAAAGTAATTTTCTGCTTTTTATGGGATAACCGGAGTGTTGAAGTGATCGAATAAAGGTAATAATTGTTTGGTGCAAAGTCAGGTGTATATAGCGTGTGGAGTATCACTTCTTAAAACTCAATGAAATACTAAATTCACATTTATATACCTAGCAGCTGCAACGTCTCCAGAACTATTTGGTCAAAAATCGCCTTAAGTTCGTCAATAGGAAAATATTGCTTTCCATGACAACGCCAGGCTGCAAAAAATAACCTGAGAAGGAATTTTTAAGCTTGCTTGGTCAGAACGCAGTGATGGGAAGGTGTTTTCGCTGGTTCCAAGACTGCATGAATTTAAGCGAGCTACCAGGCTGGCATATCGGTCCTACCCTTTTAATGTCAAAACAGTTAAAATATAACCGTCTCTTCTATTCAAACAGCTCTTCCCGTCTGTGGAACTCTTTTCCCCTTACTTGCTTCCCCGATAACTATAATCTTCAAATATTCAAGTATAATGTCAATCGACATCTGACACCCTGAACTTGTTCCCCGTCTTTCTCTGTATGCTTTCCTCAAACACACCTCTTTACTCTTGTTCTCAATCCTCTGTAACTCCTTACATGCTAGTGGTACTCCCGCCTCGCTTGGGTCGAATTGCCTTAAAAAAAAAGAAGAAAAAAAACAGATTCAAGAGTTTGCCGAAAACGTTTACACATCAAAATCTGTGGTTTTGTACTCCAAAGATTAAAAAATAGAAAATCTGCCTGATAAATGGCGACAATTTATTGCAATTAATGGTTAATAAAATATAATAGTACTTTAGGACAGTTTATTAAGTACAAAGCTGATAAAAAAAGTCAGAATTATTTGTTACTCAAGTTTATATTTTTCCAGCTTTATTAAATTTCTTCTTCTTCTTCTTCTTCTTCTTCTTCTTCTTCTTCTTCTTCTTCTTCTTCTTCTTCATCTTCTCCTCCTCCTCCTTATTAAATTTCTTCTTCTTATTATTATTATTATTATTATTATTAAATTTCTTCTTCTTCTTCTTCTTATTATTATTATTATTATTATTAAATTTTTTCTTTTTCTTCTTCTCCTTCATCTTCTTCTTCATCTTCTCCTCCTCTTCCTCCTCCTGATTAAATTTCTTCTTCTTCTTCTTCTTCTCCATCTTCTTCTTCTTCATCTTCTCCTTCTTATTAAATTTCTTCTTCGTCTTCTTCTTCTTCTTCTTTCGTCCTTGACCCCGCAAGGAGTCGTTGGAATTCCGATGTGCTGAGCTGCCCATTTGTCGCGAATATTTTCTTGGTGTGCACATCATGTGGCAAGTCTTCGGTCTTTAAAGCTGGCGGGGCCCATCCCTCTCCAGGTTAGACCACAGCCGATTTTCTACAACTACGTGGCCGTTATAGTTCATCTGTGGAGGCCCTTCGCCTTTGGTGCCTTGTTAATATTACATCTTCAAATGAGTTTAGGTCGCCAGATGAAACGGTTTACCGGGTCATGGCAACTCAGAGCCATCGCATGAGAGATTTAGGAGATCGTTGAGGACCAGCGACATCCGTCTGCATATTTATATTTTACATCATTTTAAGTAAATAGCAAAGTCACCACTTTTATACTAGGAAAACTGTTTCCTTTTTGAAAAAAAAAATTACTCTGTTCGTTTATATTACTCTCCTAAAACTGTCAAGAAAACAGTTGTCGTTCAATAAGAACTTAGTGATTTTTTCCAACATTCTCAATATTAACGGCAAAAAACATTGCACGAATATTCATGCTAAACATTAAAAAGACAAGATAATGAATTTTTAAAAAGATACTTTTATGCTTATTTTGATTTATGTACAAAAATGTAGAAATGTTATTTAAACTCTTTTATGTAAAAGAGTTAAAATAACATTTGAAAAATAAAGGCGAAAAGAGAATAAAACCAATGTTAGGTTCCTTAATTTATTTTTTTTTTAACATTAAGGCATTTCATGGAAAAAAGGTTCTACCATTTTTGCCTGTTTTCTCTTCGAGAAGCGGATATGTAGACTTGGTACTGTATTTGCCGTGTTCTGCTAGCTTTATTTACCGACAAATAATCCAGGAACCGATGTAACCTCATGAATCCTATTAACTAGTAACCTCATCAATCCTAGAGTTGTCATGCAGCCATTAAGATTTGAATCAGGAATGAATGATGTTCGTATCGTTGGGAAAAGTTTAAATCATCAGTTGATTATATCCGCTGATCTCCAATGAAAAATAAATAGATGATGCACGTTATTTAAAGATTAATATATACATTCCTGTATATATATATATATATATATATATATATATATATATATATATATATATATATTTATTAAATACATTTTTTATGTTTAACGT